GATTGGTGAATTGTTGAATAAAGCCAGTAAGATCTTTAAAATCTGCTTGGTTGAATTTTGTTTTTAACAGGACCAAGATTGTTGCTTTAATGTGCAAGGCACAACATGACCAGCTCCAGAGAGGCCTTGATCAAGGTCGCAGGGCTGAGGGAAATCCGGGGAGAACCAAGAGGTGGCCCCTAGTTGAAGAGCATGAACAATGGTGGGGAAGCATTTTTATCTCCCTTTCCACTGGTGCAGGGGAAACAGAGGGAGGGAATGTAGGCATCCCAGGTCCCTGTTAGAATGAATCACAGGGGTGGGCCAAAAGCCAGCCTGGGTGGCTTGATTCTGGGGCATCTGCTGAACGGCATTTACACTGAGTTGTGCCCAAGTGGCTTTTAGTGCCTCCCATTCTAGTGCCTAAAGCGGGGCTCACCCAAGTTATTGCACTGCAGGCTCTAAGGAAGGATATACAAGCCTTTGACATGTAAGTAGTCAGGGTTTTTCAAAGAATCTCAGGCTTTAGTTGCCGCCATTCACTCCAAACCCTGGAAGGAGAGTTCTTTTTTACATGCACAGGGCAGGAGATAATTTTCCAGTGACCCTCAGCAAACTATTGTCTTAGGACAGGAGGTCTGTCCTTGCATCTACATAACAATAATGGACTTTTCTCCATTTTGCACTTGGTGAGAAAAGTTTAAAGACTTTGCTACAGAAGTAGTTTTGGAGAGAACAAGGCAGGACCCTTAGAATAAGACCTGGAACCAGAAATTGAGGACAGCCTCTAAAACCAGATTTCAGGCAAAGTCCCTCATTGGAAAAATTCAAAACCAAATCCCTCATTAAATTTGTCTTCTCCAAACAGGATTCGGCTTGTGAGCTCTGTTCTATTACTCCCCACGTGGTCCAATCAGGGCCTGAGGAGAGAGTACAGTGAATGGGCATCACACCTCCGCAGGGCGCCTGGGGTGCTGGTTTACGGAAGGTTAAAGCTGGTCTGAGGTGTGAGAGGTGAGGACGTGAGCTGTCTGTCTCCTTCCCGCCCTGGTTCTCGCTGCCCTACCCCACCCGGGACTCAAAACACCAGCTCTTTCCTCTGCCTAAGTGAGGGAGTAGATGTGGTAGAAAAAGTCAGAGAACCTGGTTTTGAATCTACAGACTGTGTGACTTTGGGCAAAAGATGTAACCTTCTCTTCTGAGCCTTGATTCTTAAAATCCATAAAGAGCGGGTGTCAGTAATTCCTGCTGTGGCCCACGTTGAAGGGTTGCTGTGAGATGAGATTTGATAGGTAACACAGACTATGTAATTGTCAATCACTGATGTGCAAAGTTACTACTCTTTCCAGAACCTCCTCTTTGCATTCAATTATTCCAGAGTAAGAATTTAAGTTAGTTGTTCTACATTCTCAGTGCATCTGTATTTTAAACTTCATTATTAATCCTGGACTTTGCCTGAACAAAGGAATTTTGGGGAACAGTAGGAGAAAGGGGTTATTCCCTGGGGGCAGCAGGGTTTCTATCTTCTATCTTAGCTTGGGTAGTGAGGTAAATGATAATTATTTGGTTAAGGTGATGTGGAAGGGGGGGGTTAAGTCCCCCTCTCCAAGTGCTGGGGTGGTCCCTTTTCTGCTTTAGTGACTCAGAGATCTGGATGTGACTCCGAGAGGCCAGCTTTGGGAGAAAGGGGTGGGAGGCAGATAGTGTAAGTGGAGGTCTGAGATCAGCTCCACGGGCCCTCAGTCACTCCCCAGACCTCACCACGAGGCAGAGCGGGGGTCACCCCTGCCCCTCAGTCATATACATATTCTATAAGTATCATGGAGCGCCCACCCTGTGCCAGGGGCATGCTAGGCCCTGGGGACATGGATAAGAGCAAGACAAGCCTCGCGGTGTCGTCTTACTGCTTGGAGTTTAAGAGGAAGAGGAGGTGAAATGATTACGGTGGCCAGAGAGGAAGTGTCAGAGGCCACAGGGAGCTTCCAGCCTTGCAGCCAGGGATGTAACCTCTGCTAGTTGCAGAAGGAGGCCTCCCTGGAGCCTGCACACGAGGAATAGAAGCTGGTCAGGCTGGGGTGGGGGGAGGGTGGGAAGGCCACAAGGGAGAGAGAGAGAACAGAATGAAGTCCAGTTGGGCTTTTGGGATTATTTTTCCCTTTCTCTTCATGGCCGTTCTTGTTACTATTTTAAATGTATCTCCATCTGGATCAAAATGAGGGACACAGCCATCTCCGGGTGGTGTTTCCTCAGCCCCATCTCCATCTCCAGTTCGGGATGGCATAGGATGGGCAGAAGAACAGAGGGGGGCAGCTTAAAGTCTGACCACAGGCCCAGGACCTTTGTATACACAGCTGCGTCTAGCATTCAATTCCTGTGCAAGCTGATTTTTGTCACGATGTTGGGCAGCGTCAAGAGCAAGACTGTGCAAGATGAGGGGCAGGGGGGTGGGGACACTGCCTTCTGTCTGTCTACATTCCCACACCGATGTTGATGTTATTTTGGAGGCATGGAGGAAGTGGCGGCTTGTTTACAACCCAGATCCGGTTTTGAAGCTAGGAGGAAACCCCAGCCCAATTGCACAATTCAGCTCTGAGCTTCATCCTTGGTGGCCTGAGGCTGCTCCCATCTCATGCCCAGGAAGGGGTCCTGAAATGAGCAGGGAATGATCAGGGCTGCAAAGTCTCTTTTCCTTTCACATACAAAGAGCCCAGAGAGGCCATACAACCAGGACGGAAATCACACAGGAACCTGGTCATAAAGCCATCACTGGAGTCCATATCCCACAGTAGTCCTATCTGGGGCCTTCATAATGCAGTTAGTTTATATGCATGACCTTGTCTGATACTCTCAGCAGTCCTGTGCAGCAGGTGAGGATGAGGATGCTTATTTTGCAGAAGGGAAAGCTGACGGTTGGAGAGGTTATTTGGCCGAGTCCCCAAGTTAGATTGTTGGAAAGACCTTCTAACTCAAAATTCAGTGTGCTTTCCACTGTGCCCTGTAGTTATGAGGCACACACAGTCTCGGAATTTGCTCACGATCCACCTGAGAGTGGCCTGGAATGTAGATGACTACAGAGGAGGGCTTTCGAGGAGTAAATGAACCGTGTTTGAGCATTCTTGCCCATTCTCCAGCATCCAAGTTACTAATCAAAGTCAGCAAGTAACTGGCCCTGCCCTTATCCTTCCCTGCAAATTGCCAACTGACCCCCAGGCCAGGGCGTGGGAGAAGTAGCTCCCTATCTTCAAATCCACACTGAGGGATCACATGTCTCTGTTTTCGGCTGGGACTGTTGTTCTTGTAGGGAAGGTTCTCATCAAATATCTGTTGAGAAAAACAAGTGGATCATTTGCAGGGTGTTTTGACTCTAGCTCTGTGAGTTCCTCTCATTTTCCCCCGGGGGGCTAAATGCAGGTAGAGGTGTTTTTGCTGCAGGTCTCAGGGGGCCACAGGGTGGTCCACTCCTGTAAGATGATGCTGACGAGATGCTGCTCTAGATGGGGAGTGGGAGCTGATGGTAGTTCAGCGGCTTCTTCAGAGGTTAAGTGATTTGCTTGGTGGGCAGGACTGCGTGGCTCTGTGATGACACTGAGATGGACAGAAAAGACTGGGGAGATCGGGTTTGGGGAGAAATTTGGGGGTGAGAGGAGGTAGGGGACTGCGGAACCTGAGGCCAAGTCCCTAGCACGTCTGAATGGGGTGCTGCAGGTGGTAGAATGCTGGATTTAGGGGGTGGGGAGGGGCTGTCCCTCCTTTGGCAGCGTGTCACCAGTGAGGCTGTACAAGAGAGAACAGGGGTAGGAATCCAGCTACTGGCGTTTATTGAGGACCAGGAGCATTTTGGAGGAAGGGAACTGACCACACTTTCTTCTAAACCAGGGGCTTGAATACAACTACTGAAGGAGTCTCCCCTTCAATCCTGCTCCCTGTGTCTTGAGTCTTACCAAAAACCAGACTTGGAGTCCAGTGCACAGTGACATAAAATGCACCAGAGGCCACAGTGGATGGGCCGTGCTGCTCCCACAAAGCTGCGAGGACCCTATTTACCTTGGGTGTGTCTTAGCAATTCCAGTGCTAGAAGTTTTCTCTCTTTGTGGTTGGAAGAAGGTCTGGATCTTCAAGCTGGATTTAGGGATAATTTAAAGTGTGTTTTTCCTGCTCTTGGGGTGTGTGTGCTCCCCCTGGCCCCCCCAGTGGCCAGCTTACACGTGTGGGGAGGGGACTTGCAGCAGTGCCTGCGGGCCAAAGGGTCTGGTGGCATGCCCATCTTTGTGGCTGAGGAAGGGTGACTCAGTGCTCGGTCACCCTGGAGGGGTCACAAGCCAGCCACCAGGCTGGGGCTCCGGCTCACACACAGGTACGTGTGAGCGAGAAACCACTGTATAACTGTGTGATTGTCCAGGTGTGGCAAGTCTGGGTCAGATGGAACTTGCTTTTACTGCCTCTGTGCAGGGTGCGTGTTTACCGTGCTGGGGCAGGGGCAGGGGCAGCATGGCTTGGTCAAGGGTAGTTGGAGCTGTGGTCACTTCAACTTGGTTTTGAAGAGCAGTCGAAACCACGGGAGTGTCAGTGGGGGCGGGCTCACGTGGACTCTAAGCCGGCCCGCCGTGGCCGCCGAGATGATGTCCCTGGGCTGCGGGCTCTCACTCGGAGGGGCGACGCAGTAGGGCCCGGGGGACGCGGTCGCGTGGCGGGACGCGGGGCTGTGCCAGGACCGGAGAGCGGCCACGGTTTAGGGCGACCTCGACCCGGCCCGGCGCAGGAGGCAACCGACTCCAGAGAAGCCGAGTGAGCCCCCCACAACTCCTGACCGCTCCAGGCTGGGGACGAGGTGCGCCCGCGGCCGCGAAGGGCACGCACCCCCGCGGCTGCCCGCTGCCTTCACTTCCCCACCCCCCGGCGGGGGCGGGGCCCGAGCCGCCGCCGGGGCCGCCGAGCGGGGAAAGTGCGCCGAGGGGACGCGGCGGCGAGTGCACACGTGACGGCGCCGCGCCAGCCGAGCGGGACCCGGCGGCGGCGGCGGGCGCAGCGGCGGCCCCGAGCGGCGCGGGCGACCTGGAGCCCCGGGAGCGGCGCGCGCGGTCCCGGCCCCGCCGCTCTGCTGGCCTCGCGCTGCACATTCTCTCCTGGCGGCGGCGCCACCCGCAGCAGCGTTCGCCCGAACATGGCGACGCGGAGCAGCAGGAGGGAGTCGCGACTCCCCTTCCTATACAGCCTGGTCGCGCTGCTGCCGCTCGGGGCTCTCTGCGAGGTCCGGGCGCAGGCGCTGCACGGCGGCCGCGCGCCCTTGCCCCAGGACCTGGGCTTCCTCGTGGTGCGGGGCGACCCGCGCGAGCTGCGGCTGTGGGCGCGCGGGGATCCCCGGGGGGCGGACGAGAAGCCGCTCCGGAGGAGACGGAGCGCCGCCCTGCAGCCAGAGCCCATCAAGGTGTACGGACAGGTGAGCAGTTTGCAACCCACTGTCCTCCAGCCAGCCCTTTGCTCTCTCCGCACTTCCTCACCCCCGCATCCATCCTTTGCAGTCGCCTCCCAGGTTGCGGACTCCACTGGGGACTTCCCGGCTTGCATTTGTTTCCCCCCAACCCCCCTCACAGGAGTACAACCGTCGGCACTTGGACTGCATTGATCTTTCCCTTCTTCCTTTCGATTTTAGCCAGCGTGTTCCAGGTAACTCGCGGGTGCAGTGCACATTTCCCCAGGGTGTGGGCAGCGGTGTAGTTTCCGTCAGGTATAGGAGGGGTGCAGCTTCATCTTACATGTGGGTAAAAGACGGGCTTCCTTTAGTGTATCGTCGGTCGGCAGTGGAGGCGAGCACCCTGCAGTTGCTGTGCGCTTGCACAGAACAGTGAGAGGCAAGGGGTGACCACACTTAGCGTTTTAAACCGCAGTTGAGGTGGGCAGACCTGAAAGCTTGACTGTCTTGGTGTAGTCAAAGCAAAACGTACGTACGTGTGTGTGTGTGTGTGTAAAGGCTGATATTATTTTGTTGATGATTTTGGGGGGTGACGTTCTATCCATTCCATCCTCCTCTCCCTGGCAAAATACTGACTTTATGATGGACAGGAATATCCCTCATGGCCCTCCGGGATTTGAAAGACTGCAAGAATTTGGTGGTCATCGTTACTCCGTAAATGATTTCTTTCTAACCAGGCAACGGGTTTATTAGATCACAGGTAATATGAATTTCACTTTTATGGCCAGACTTCCTGCTAGGAATAGCGAACCGAGTTTGTGGGTTAGTATCGGCACTGACAAAATTAAACTGACCGTGTTATTGTCTCATATCAGCAAAACCAGAAGGTGGGTGGTGGAGAAAAGGTGGGACCAGTGGAGGTGGTGAACGGCACGATTTCTAGGGTCAAAATGTTCCCTTTCAAAGAAGAAATTAAAAGATCCGTCTGAGTTCTGCCTCTCTTCACTGATTTTCCTTGAGCCGTTTTTTCCCCCCAGGAAATATAGTCAAATTAAAGTTCAACCCTCGGAGCCAGGAAGACCCTTATAAACCATCTCACCATGTGGTGTCATTTTGTTGATGAAGAAACTGAAGCTGGGAACAGTGAAGTGAGTGACCCAGGGTCACGTGGGCCAGGTCGCCTCCTCCTCAGCTTTTGTCTGCATTGTCTCTGGGGCCACTGGCTGATCAAATAGTCTCCTCTCTTTATACAATGCTTCTTAACTCCTTGCTCAAATAAAATTATGGCTGCAAAGGGGCAGGGATGGTGGTGAGGGGTGGGAGTATTTGGCTTCTTCCATCTGCTGTCAGCCCCTGGGTGAGAGCGTGTGCCCAGTAACAGCTGGTGGGTATGGGCTTCTGGGTTCTCTCTTGGGTCCAGAGCCTGTTCCCCTCCACATCCCCATCCAAAACTTATTTTTTGTATTTTTGAAAAGAAGTGAGCAAGGTCCTTGCCTCCTCAACAGGGACACTAGCATCCTGGTGGGGGCTGGGGATGGGGGAGGGAGAAAGAGAGGCCCCGTGTTCATTCACTCTTCCCGGTGGGCCTAGCTCTGCTGGGGGCTCCAGTCAGCTCTCTTAGGGCCTGGGAATGGGGGGTGGCCGGAGACAATCCCTTCCAGAGCTCAGGCCCCCTGCAGCTATAGTTTTGGCTGAGGGAAGAGCTTCCTGGTCGCAAAAATGTCCCCGCAGGTGCCGTCTCTTCCTTGGGTCTGGTTTGTCAGATCTCCTGGGGATTTGCAGCAAGTTAAAGGTGAACTGTGTTCCCACCACAGTGACTGCAACCCCCTGGCGCTTGTGTTTCTGAGCCATCCAGACCGAGTTTGGTTCAGGATAGAGAAATACCAGCCTCAGTCCTAAAGAGAATTCCTACCAATGGTGAAGACACAGGGCAGTGTTTTTACTTCTCTGAGGCCGCCTTCCTGGGCCATTGTTCTCTGTTGCCCTGACGTTATTAAAAGTGAAATTAATTTGAATCTTTAAGGATTGGAGTTAGATAGAAGGAGGAACTTCCTGCCTCTTCAGAAGGCAAGCATAGGAAAGAGTGGCAGAAGGGGCTTGGCATTCCCCTCTTGGAGCTCTGGGGTAACTCACATCCATTTAGCTTGACCTTTCTAGCCTCTGTTTTCCCTGGGACAGACCTGGTTTATAAATTGTCCCTTCTCATGAGAAGCTCCGCCTTCCCTGTCTAAGTGTCAGGATGCAGTCTAGGAGTTATATGGCCATTCTACCTCTAGCCCTAAGCCAAGTCTCACTTTACACTGTTTCCTCCCACTTAACTTTCAAACCTAAGGAATTGTGATGTTTTTCCATAATATTGTTTGCACAGAATGTGATTTTATGCAGTGAAGGAAGTAGAGATGGGGGTGGGGAATTTTTCACCCCTGCTTTCAGAAAACTACAATTTAAGGAGGTAAAGCAGATGCATATCTAGGCATGTAAATATATGGGACAGAAAGAAAGAAACAAATAAACATGGACCCAGTAAACCAGCTGCAGTTCTGCAGTGGGGTGGTAGAGGGCTGTATGATAGGGTGTGGGAGATGGGGTGATAGAGGGTCAGTGGGCTCAGACACTCTGCAGTTTCTTGCCCTCTGACCTTTGAGGTAAAGAGGATGCCTGGCAGCACAGATTAGGGCTGGAAGCAGAAACTGCCTGAGGAGGAAACCCTAGGGGAGATGTTGAGGCCACCAGCTTCAGGGAGAGCAGCAAGAAGGGCTTTTGTAGGGAGATAACCTGCATCTGGAGAAAGAGCCCTGAGCGGCAGTCGGTGTTGGTTCTGTGTCTCTTTGCTAACCCATCCTCATGCAATGAACCAGGCCTAGTTATTTTCCATGTCGATCCTCATGTTCTCTAATGTGGGAGACTGTTTTCTGCCATGATTCCTCAGGGACATGTTTGTAATAACGAACTATGCCAATAGTGCTGAAAACAGTTTGCTATCAGGTATTAGGGCATTTCTGCCCAAGTTCAGCGTTTAAAAGTTGAGCTCCTTCTACAGAAGATCAGGCCCAAGAAGGGGGATTCCACAGTCCTCGCCACATGGGATTTCTTGCTGATTTTATGCCCACTGCATGCCTCTGTGCCTTCATGCTGCTTTTTCCTCTGCCTGAAATGGTCTACGCCTCTCCTGTCTTTGCCAGCAAAACCCCTATTTCATTTTCAGCATCTCAGGAATCCCTCCTCGGCTTCCCAGGCTCCAGTGGGAAGAGCGCTTTTGAGCTCAGTTACAGCAGCCTTGTGATACAATTTTGTTTCACGGTCTCATCTGCTGTCTGCTCGTGGGGCAAGTCTTTCTCATTTCCGTCTCTGCACCGGGGAGGCCCTAAGGCGTATGTGCGGACCAGCTGCCCACCTGGAAGAAGAGAGGCCTGCAGGGTAGGAGGCCCGCCCAAGTTATAGAAAGGCTATCTATAAAGTGGACCAGGGTGAGCTCGCATCGGAGAGTGATAGTGAGTTGGCTCCCTTGGTGGCGTGGATGTAGGTAGTGGAGCCCTGATTTTCCTGTGCTATCTTGGCAGTTATTCTGCAAGAAGTGCTGGGGTTCTGCTGGACAGAACCCTCCCTTTTAGGGCTATCATGGTATTGCTAATGGTGTTGTTTGGGGAAAAATCCTTTGGAATGGAGCACAAAGCCTAAGAGAACTTAGAGGTTTATTTTCCTTCCAATGAGCTCTCTCTTCATAATTCCTGCTTTTTAGAGGCCAGCGAGTATTCAGTGTCCTCATTTGAGACTGAAAATAAAGTGTCTGTTACAGCACAAGGCCCTGGGACAAAGAGCCTCCTTTGGGGGTGGATACTGTTTGACTTTAGATCTCTTTGGGGGTAGAATCTTGCACGATATACTTGCTTGGGAAAGAATTGTCTGGTTGATTCTGAAGTCAGGATGTTTGACCTGTATGCTTCCAAAAGATGAAAAGGCAATAAAGCATTTGCTGTTTCAAGTTGGCTCCGACGTCTGCGAAGAGTTGCTTGGCTTGTTGGGTTGGCTCGGAAAGGGATGTGACCTTGAAAAACTTCCTGGTACCACTTGGCATCTCCTTGCTGTATGAGTTCTGTGCTCAGTCTCTGGCCCCCGCTTAGTTCATGAATAGCTTGCATGGCTTAGGGCTTAGTGGGTAGAGGCTTTGAGAGGTGAAGGTATGGGAGGAAAAGGGGCCAGGGTGGGGAGTGAGAAGTCAGAGAATTAAAAGGATGCAATGAAAAGCCATTCAGTTTATTTAGCCTTCAGTAGGTCATACACCTTACAAAGCAGCATTTGTACAGAAGAGTATGTAGTGAGTAAATCCCCCCACCCCCCACTTTCTGTCTCCCATTCACCCAGTGCCCCTTCCCAGTTGGCGAACACTGTCATCAGCTTTTTGTACACCCTTTCAGGAACATTCTGCATACCTATAATATGTATATACATCAAAACTTAAAATATCAGTGGCTTTCTGTTATCCATAGCCCCCGATATCATGAACAATGAGGTTTAACCCTAGCTCCAAAATATATTTACGGCATTGTGACTGCCAATAGGAAGGGAGTTACCTGAAGCGTCATAGTATAAGATGGATTGTTCTTTGTTCTCCAGGCCAGGTGACAGAAAGCTCATTCTCATTCTGCTTCTGGGGATCCTGCAGGCCAGGAGAACAGCATTATGTAGCCCTTTGGGAACTTGGAAAGGTGCTGGAGCAGTGTTCACTAGAGAAATAGAGCCCAGGTTTGTGAGAATGTCAGAAAATAGGGATCATGCATCTTGGTGTTAACTCAGGTTCTTTTTGAGAATGTTTTCTTTATATCCCGTAAAATGAAGTTAATGGTATGCTTAATAAATTGCTTTAAGACCTGGCATCCAGGAGGCAACCAGCACCCCCGGCAACTAAGAGCAGCTCATATCCCAAAGCAAAAGGCGGATGTTTTGGGAACATTTCATTGTCATATTTTGGTCTGTTCCTCCTTAGAGGTGACAGTCACTTTGTATTGTCATTGTTTAATCCCAGGGCC